TCCCTCTCACTGATGCAGATGGAATCTTCAAGATCTTCCCTTTACAGGTGTTGGATCGAAAAACAATTGAAAGAAAGGGGGTTTCAGTTTCTAGGGTTTTGGTTCAGTGGTTGAATGGTGACAAAGAGACCGCGACTTGGGAAGATGAGAGGTGTATCAGAAAAAAGTTTCCATCTTTCGATCCTTGCGGACAAGGATCAACTCAACCCGGGGGTATTGTTATGGCCGGAGATGGAGGTGACGGTGGTGCGTTGTTCATCGATAAAATCGAACAAGTCAAAGAAGATGGAGATTTTAATTCAGAAGAATTATCGGGTCAAGCAAAATTGGGCCGTGAGAGGATCATTTAAAAATGCCAGGCCCAAGAAGAAAAGTTATTTAGTGAATTATCTGTAATGGCCCATAGTATGGCCCAATATTACTATTTTATTGTTCTTTCTTTACTTTAAGGATCACATTAGGGCATATTGGGAATTAAGTGGGAAATTATATGGTCCCCACGAGTTGTTATGTAAAAGAGCATGTTTGCAGTAATGAAAAACAGAATTTGGAATCATCAAAATCTCTCTCTCTCTCTCTTACTCATCTTCCTCCTTCTTCTATCTTAATTTTCCTCCATTTCTGTTACTTACAAGCTCAAATTACAGCATAATATTACAAAATTAAGTAAACCCATAACACAAAGTTGGTACAAGTAGTGGTTAGAAGAGCTTATTGAGGTGGGATCTATTGCTTGTGTTTAGTCAGAGTGGTTCTTTAGGATGATGTACTAGCAAGGCCCAAGGAGCTTCTTGAGTGGGACTCTGGACTTGATTGTGCCCACCAAATCTGCAGTAGCTTCAGTGTGTACCAAATCCTCGGTAGATTCATACTGAAGATTCATGTGATATAACAATGTTGTTCCAACATCACTTTTCCTTATTTCATGTTGTGTCGTGTGCATTTTTACTCATATATGTAGGTGTTTTTACTAATTAATCCGAAGATGTATCATATATGCCTAATGTTGAAAGTTTGTGTGCCTCGTAAGAATGCTGCAACTATTATATAAGGTTTGATTCATGTACCTCTAAATGCATGTACTTGTGCTAATAAAACTCTCCACAAACTATACCAATTTGAACTTATCACTCTTTTATTTGTTTACTACATTTTTTTTTTTTTTTT